AAGAAAGAGTGCTGTGATGACCAGCAAAGCAACAGATAAAAAAACAACAACAAAAACACTAAATGATTCATCTATTTTCACCTGTCAAGTCCCAGCTAACTTGTATGTGCTGACAGAAATTGCGTTTAGCCCTTAGGACCTCGTTTCTTGTTTGGCTGCTTAAAAAGAAATTTTAATTTAATCAATCAAATAGGTTGTGCAATGATTGGACTGAAAGTTCTTAAAGGCATTTTCTACTTGTATCTGAATATCCAGTCTAGCTCTTAAAACAATTACAATGGCATGACAAATTTAAATCTTTACCCACACCATTTAAAAAGGAGCAAAGTTATTTCAGAAAAAAGTATCCTTCCCTTTTTTTCCTTCACATTTTTTTCCTTCACAACTGCAAACCAAACACTTCCAATTTATAAAAGATGTTATTTTAAATTATAGTAAAAAAAACAGAATTTTTTAAGTATTTGGCCCCTTGTGTCAATACTAAGAAGGGAAACCTTTTTCAGTATTTAAAGCTGCAGATATATTGTGGTATGTCTCTAAAAACTTTACACACCTAGAAACTGAAAACTTTGCTTTTCTACCTTTTCTAACTAGTCATGAATACACCATATTAGTGCTCCCTCCCTGTACATCTAAAGTCTCTCTCTGTTCCTCACACCGTAATGGTACCACCCTTACAATCAGGTTAGTTCAGAGTGATGTGAAATGTTACTGCTCTATATATAGCAGTATAAAGCATTTTGCATGTGCGGTAAAAAAAAAAAAAAAAAAGTAATCTTTGCCTTTTCCTTCAACACGGCATGCAGTAAAATGCAAATAAGACTTCTTATGACTTTGCTTTTAAAAGATGGCATTCTTCTTCTGGGTTGAGCACAGCTAAAGTCCTGTGAGTAGAATCTCTAAGTTAGACATTGATCTCTACTTTAGCCTCTTAGCTGCTTCTCTGATTAATCCCCTCATTGGCTGAGCTGTCAGTTAAGGTTATCAGCTGTTGTTGCAAGCTAGAATTTGAAGGTCTTGATGCAAGGAATTGTAGAGACAGTACTGGGGTTGCCCAAATGGTTCAATAAACAATCTGGAGAATGACAAGAAAGGCTGAAACCCAGACTAAGTGATGTCCTGAGGTTAGTGAGAGTTTGCGTGTGACGAATGGCTGTTCTCACCAAGACTGCAACGGACTCTTGTGATCTCCTTCAGCAACCAAGGCTCGTTTGTTTAGTTTGCAGTGTCCGCCAATCTCCCCCGTATGAATAAAGTCCTCGTCATACCTGAAGTGTGAAAATACCTGACTTTCAAGTCTCTTTTATGAAAGGAAATTGATTATTTTCTTAAAAAAACGGATATAATACAGTTTCACCAACCTCTCATGACTTCTACGTGGGTTTCGTAAGTCCAGGTAAAGATTTGTTGCCCTGCAGAATCTTGCATGGCTGCTGCATTTTAATGATGAGTCCCCCTTGGGGAATAAAGCGTGATAAAAAAGTAATATGATTAATAATCCTTCCATTTGATTTCTGCAACAGTGAAATACATTTGGCCAGCTGTCTTTTTGTTGAAGCATTAGTTTATTTTTGGACCTGTTGTTTTTTGTTTTTTGTTTCCTGTTGACTCAGAAAGCCCATGAGAACTGAGGAAATGAGTGGACTTACCGGCTCCCTGGCCTTGCAGAGTGTTTTGAGTTCAGAGAGTCTCTCTTTGACGTAACCAAAATCAGCCTGCTTCCAGAAAAGCTCCTGGGCTGCATCCAGCGAACGCGCCCTAACACATTGGAGATTTAGGCAGATCAGAGGAAACACAAACACGATAAATGTCAAAAATGCAAGAATATGCATAAAGAACATGTTCAGTTTGAGGCAACAATACAGAATACGATTTAGTGTCAAATATACGGTGCAAGAATGATATTTTAAAAGCAATACCATCCAGAGTTAGCTTTGGTACAGACAGGGTAACTGAAGCGTCTCTCTGCATCACAGTTTTTCTCATAGCCCCAACAGACTGATGGATTCTGCAAAGCATCCTGGAACATTAAGAAACAATAAGCTATTCCAAGCAGGCATGTATCCATCATTCCCCTAACAGATAAAAAGTAGAGAAATTGCTAACATTTGTTGGAAAATTAGATCCTTCTGTTAAGCCATGAAATGTGCAGAGATGGGTATAAACTAGTCTAATTTACTAAATTATTTTATAAAGACAATGCTTAACATTTGAAGTAAACCTGCATAACAATTTGGAAGTAGGAGGATGATGACCTAAAAACACAGGCGTACAACTCTGATTGGCTTTAAGCGTCAAAATGAAAGATTTGGAGATGCTTAGTCTAACTCTGGATTTTAATCTAATGAAGTCACTGTGGTGTGTACTTAATCAGATCATTCATACTCAAATATACATCAATTCAGCCTGACTTAAACATTTATGTGGAAAAAAATGGGTTGCATTCTTGTCTTAGAGATGCACTGAAAGCGGAAAACAATGAAGGAAGAGATGGAGCCGATAGCTTACTTTAAAAGGGCAGAGTGGATCCTGGCGGCATAATTTGGCAATCCTCTTGTTGTTGCTGAGAAAGTAGGGTAGGTGCTCCGGTGGCAGAGAGATCCTGCTGTAGTTCAACAGGGGCGAAGCTGGTTTGTGGTTGGCGGTTTCAGCCTTCCCAACCTTGACCACGGGAGGCGAAAACACAATGCCGAGTGCTACCAAGAGCAGCATAGTCAGAAGGACAGAGACATATGAAACAGTCGCCGGTCTGTCCAACACACTGTGAGGGAAAAAAAAAAAGATACTCAGACTTGCTCCTTGTGATCTCGGCATGGAGAGCAACACACCACAGAGCAGGAACATGTGGGCACAGGCAAACGTGTGGGAACGTAGCTCCAGGAGGATCTTTTCTTCACATAAGGACAGGTCTTGTTGTTGCAGGAAATAAAGCTGACCTCATTCTAACGGTTGTGCCCTGTGAGCAATCATAACGAGGACACAAGAGTCCAAATCAGCTATAACAAAGTCATCGACCGATGACTTGAAATTTATAGAGTAACCTTTGGTAAAGCAGCAGGCCATTGTGTTTTCCCACAATGGCTGTAGAACAGTTTCATATCTGAAGGAAGGGAAAAGTAGGAAACTGTTTATACTGCAGATTTTAAAACAATGGGTGGAAAAAGCTTTACATGTTTCAATAACAGTAAGAAAGGCCACTGGTAAAGGAGAACTGAGAACACTGTTTTAAGCTTTGTCATTAATTACTGTTTTGTGCCACCTTTACAAGCAGAGATCTTATGCTGCTAATTTACTAAGGAATGAATGAGGAATTTGCACCTCTAAGAGCAAAAAAGTGGACAATAAACACACTTTTTAAACTTACCTTTTATGTTTTGGTTTGTTTTAATCATCATATAAGGATAAATTAAAAGCCTTTCTAGTTGTAACACGACAAAATATTCTTTAAGATGTAAAACATCAACTGGCAGCCACTTAGAAAGTTAATTATATATATATATATATATATATATATATATATATATATATATATATATATATATATATATATATATACCCTATACAGAAGAAAATAGTTTAAACACAGTGTATCCTATCTGCAAGTGGCAAACTTTTCGCTAGCTTCATTTTCACTGGTTATATTTAATAAAATAACTTTAAACTTCGCTAACAACGTGGACATTTATTAAGTAAATGTAAAATATTTCATTACCGGCGATACAATGAACATAGCGTTATGTCAGAGATTTATTTAAGCGGCGGGAAACGTTAAGCATGTTTAAAAGCTAAAATAAAAATGTAGAAATAGCTAAGGTCTAGCTCTAGTTCATAACAATGCGTTTAACGTGAAGTTACCGCGCGCCGTCAATTCATCACAAGAACAACACAGAAAATGTAGAGAACTGCCAAGAAACGGTCCTTTCTAAAACAACAACCTATTTAAGTCAGGGTTTATCTAAGTAAATCTTATAAAGGTTTGCCTGACAGTCGCTTTACCTAAAAGCACAGCCTGAGGTTCGTGAGTGAAGCAGCGGTGATGCCGGTGGTCGCCATAACACCGGAAACCTGCACGTTAACAGGGAGTAATATAAACAATCGGCCACCAGATGGCGCCACGTGTTCATGTTTGGAAGCTATTTTCTCAATTCTGATGAGTCTTTAAAACAGGGGCGTTAAAAGATTGTGAAAACCAAGACAAAAATGAAAAATAAATAAATAAATCAGAGTATAGATATTTCAGAATAACAAAATTGCATAAATAAAATAAGCGTGTAATATTTAAGTTAAATATGTGTAATATTTAAGTTATTTAAGTTAAACAAATATGTCATTTGTACAATAGGGATGATTTTATCTTTTTTTTTAATAGTATTGAGTTTTTATATTTTTATAGGCTTGTCAAACAAATTCTATTCTCAGCCATTATGGGATTTGGGTTTCTTTTCCTCTTCAGTTATCATTTAACACCTGTGTTTAATTTGCTGTTAGATGCAGCAAATAATTTTATTCAAAATATCTCAGTATTTAAAAAAAGAAAAATCATGAAACATTAGATATGAAAGATATATAGGCCCGTAGTATTACAGATCCTTCACCGAACAGTAGGTATAATATTGATTCCTTGGATTTTTATATCCAAAAGGTAAAGTGTGCTTAGAAGATCCTTTGTTTCATTTAACTGCAGTAAGTAATTTCAGTTAAAGTCCCATTTTTAAAACAATAGCTCTATTATACTGACAGAAAAAGCTTTTTCCTTTTATGCCTCTGAAAACTGGTTGGCATGTTGATAGTGTCTAATGGTTGTTATGGCAACTTAACCAAAATGCATCACTGTGCAGTAATTTTAAACTCACTTTTTTCTTTTCTACTCTGCCTTCCATCCTGCTCAAAGGTTTACACTTCTCACATTTCTCTATGATCATGCATGTTTGACTGAAAGCAGCCTAAATGTAGATTTTATGCAGAATTTACTTAAAAAATTAAGAATAAAATTTCTCCACCACCCAATAAACATTTATTAATTTACAAGTATACAGCTTCAAACCAAACCATCAGCACCTGAGATTACCTTTAGGTCTACGTCATGTGTCGTGATTTATACAATGTTGTTAACACCAGCATTTATCTATACAACAGTTTCTTATATAATCATTAAACTTTTAGGAATATAAATGGCAAATTATGACAATTTGTACAGTGCAAATAAATTGGTGTCCCATCATACAGTGAAAAACTATAACATTACAACAAAATGATGCATTAATCGACAACTGTGACGCTCCTTCATAGCTACTCTGTAACATTAATTCACAAAACTACCGTATCCTCATTTTAATCAAGTTTAGAATAACAGAAATAAAACGTTGAATAATAAAAACAAAGAAATCAGCTCATAATTTAAAATTTCTCCTCTTTGTTGTTATATGAATGTATTTGTGGCAAACATGAAGAATGAATTCATGGCCAAAAAAGGGATTCTGAGAGTCAAGTCAGAACTCCAGTAAGAAAAGGGAAAAAAAACAAACAGTGAAAATATTTTATTTCTGATTCTTCAGTAATTCATCAATCTGGGTTTTGTACATGTTTTTGACATCTTCAAGATCCAGTCTAAGTTCCTCTGCTTCCTCTGCCTTCTCTCCATACATCTGCAGGATGGTGTTGTGTCTCTGCTCCAGATCCTGAAATCCACAAAAACAGAAATAAACTTTTTTTTCTTCCTCCCAACACATTAATGCATAATAGTACTTAAGATTAAAAAATAATGCAGGGTAAAGCAACAGTCCTGAATGATTATCTAATGATAAAATAAAATTAAAAATGTTTGTTTTTTACCTTTAGCAGAACTTTCAACTTTGGGATGTCCTTGACTTTCTCCTGCATCTCATCGTTTTGATTTGTAAGCCGAACCAGCTCTTCTGCCATCACTGAGCGACTTCTCTCCAAAGAAGTGATCTCAAGCTGCAACAAAGGAGAATTAAATCTCACTGATGATCAATGATCAATGATGACCTTTGCTGTACCTGTTCCACTTTCTATATTACCTGTAACTGAGCTATTTCCCCTTCTCTCAGTTTAAGCTGCGACTGGAGGTTCTCTATGATGCTGGAGCCTCCAGACAATCTGGCTGCTTCATACAGGTTGGTTCCACTCATTGACATAGACATGGTCATGGTTCCCAGTGAGTGATCCAAAGAGTCATCCTAAGAGAGGGGGAAAAATCCATTCATTATTACACAATGCTAACTGGTCGTGATAAAAAGAAAAGCGAAATGAGGAAAGCAGGGAGCACCTGGGACAGAACAGAAGTGTGGAGTACATTTTCTGCCCCACTAATGGAGCTGGAGCGGGATAAGGATGGTGTCGATGACGCCGGGGGTTCTCCAACAGAGTGCGTCATGGCTTTCCGCTCCTGGTTGATTAGAAATTGAATTATATTTGGATCTATAAACTCAAAACAAAAATGGCACAGATTAAATGAAAAACATTCCTATCAACCTTTTCTCTTAGTGCTTCTTGAGCTAGATAGCATTTCTTCTTCTCTTGCTCCACCTTCATTTTCTCCATCTCAAGCTGGTTGGTTAGCAGTAGCTGGTTAAAAAGGGAAAAACATACATTTGAGGAACTGTTCTGCAAGGAAACAAAATTAGGGTGAATTTTCTGCCTTACCTTTTCTTTCTTGACTTCCTCTAGCAAGCGACTGTGCTCTCCTTTTAAGTTTGTCAGTTCAGCATGCTCCCTGGATTAAGATTATTAAAAATGATCATTAGAAAGTCATTCACCCTTTAAAAAATGAATGGAGTAACCTTTGAGACCAAAGCAGTGTGGCATAGAGCAAACCACATTCACTACATTCTTTCTGAACAGGACATCCTGTTCTGTGTCATATTGAGGAGTTTAATATTTTGCCTGTTTTACAGCATTCTGTTTATGCTTTTATGGAGGCAGAAATATACCAACAAAAGAAAAAAATCGAGCCAGCCAGGAGTCGAACCTAGAATCTTCTGATCCGTAGTCAGACGCGTTATCCATTGCGCCACTGGCCCGGTTGTGTAGCCCCACCTCCACAGAGAATATAAAGGCCACGTGGCTGGGCTCGCTTGCACTGGAGGGGGAGGGGTTTTAAGGAGCTCTAGCCTGCACAACAAAGGCCGTTGGTTTTTCTGAAACCCCCGCCTTCCAGTTTTCATGGGAAATCTATGATGTATTGACTAAACCATAGTGGTTTGCATGTTCACATTTAAAAGATTCTTCATTAACAGCAGGTCGCATTTGTAGCGAGTTTAAAAACCCTGATGGCGGTTTACAAACCTGCATGTTTGGAGTATTTAAAGCTTTTCACCCTATTCCAACTAAATTGTTTATTATACCTTGTCTGTTTAACTTGTCTCTTCTTATTAATTTTACTGTTTGCAAGGATATTTACAGCCCACTGTTGACCCAGGTTAAACTGCTACATAAATAAAGATGGTACGATTCAGTATATTTTGGCAGAAAATAGGTTTGTGTTTGTACCTAAGTATGCTTTTATAATTCAGTAATAACCAGGTCTTTTAAAAGCCAATACTCTAAAGGTAGTAGATGTGAGGGAAAAGCTAGGCAATGTCCAAAAGAGAAAAGATATGCATTTACAATTTAAAAAACAACTATTTCTGTGTCTATTGCTGAACACAGGAAAGGAAATTACTGCTAAATTAACCTTTTTCATTATAAAAACCTGTAAACACAATAATGTCACAGTATTTATAGAACTTAAAAAAAGTAATAAACATACTTTGAATTAAATCAGAAAAGCAGGTTTTTTCGTACTGTTATTTCTTAATTGTTGATATGATTTTGAAACATAAAGGAGAGAAAAAAAGTATATATTAAACATCCTATTTAGTTCAGTGAGTTTGATTTTCCTTCAGTTTCCACGAGACTTTTAACGGTCACATTTTTCAGCCAGCTGCCTGGCAGTGTCCAGCAACACATGGGGTTGGGAAGCGCTGTTTTACTCTAAGCTCTATACAGCTGGGAAAATGCTCTGGAAAATCTAAAATGACATCTAACTTAAAAATAAATGATATAATAACTGTATGTTGGAAAATAAGTGTGTTTTTAAATCACTGCTGTGTAAAACCTGCTTATTCTAGTCTCTGGGCAACACTGAATTTACATCCATATTTCAGAATTCCTCAGTATTATTTGTTTATATTATTTTATCATATAAAATAGGGCATAAAACAAGGCAAGTTTAATTCCTTGGAGGAGTAAACTACTTCTAAAATATGAAATGCCAAAATAGAGATAAAACACTTTGGGTAGAATTTCATTATACTGTGCCTCACAAGGTACGGTTCCAGTTCACAGAAACAAAACATTAAGCAAGAATCAAACAAGCAGATAAATACACCACCCTTAACATTACAGTGAGCAGATTTAATGTAATATTACAATGTAACTTGAGAAAAAAAAAACATGATTTCTCAGCCTTTATAGACGTTTACCTGCTGTTATCATCCTCCAGTTTCTCTCTCTTGCTTTTCTCAGCCTCTAGTTGAGCCAAAACTCTAGCTTTTTCCTGCCGGAGCAAAGAATTCTGGGATTCCAGGGAGGTCAGCTGAGACCTGATGGTTAACAGTTCTTCAGACGCCGATCGCTCCTTCTCCACAGCAACAGCCAGCTGTGCCTGGGCATCAGCTGTTCAGACACCCGCAAAAACAAAACCACTCCGACTTTATGGACACATCTGTATTTTTGTGATCGTTTTACAAATCTTCAATTAGTTAATTAATACACTAGCCTTACCCAGCCTGTCAGAAATGTTCTTCTCTAGTTTTTCCCAGGTTGCAGTTTGTCCTCCCAGCGATGCCTGTAAGTTCTCAATTTGTCGCAGAAGCGGCCGTGTGGCCGAGGTAACACTCTGACTGAGCTCCTGGTTCCTGGTCTCCGCCTCCTGTAGCCTCTGAAAAAACATTAAGAAAATGAGCAAAATATTAGATGAAACCTGTTCTGGTCACAATTAGTTATATTAAGTTTACGTCTCATAGAAAAACATTTTTCCTACCTGCTGAAGCTCACTGATCTCCTCCCTTAAATAATCTTCTTTCCTGGCCTGCTGTTGCTCAGCCCTTTGCAGAGCGATTCTCAGGTCAGCCACCTGGAAACAATGAGAGAGATACGTTGATAAAATGTAGTCCAGCCATGCTGGTGAAGGCCTGAAACTGAAGCAGGTTCTCCACTTTTTGACTTTCAATGTCCATATTTTGACTGCTTCCAAAAGCAAACACTGACAATGTCCTCCACAGCTGCCACAGGCCCTTCTGGCCCAGCCAGATGCAAGGTCTTGGCAGGTTCCCAGTTTTCTCAAACTCATTCCATTTTTTTAGAGTGATAAATTCAACACATTTTAATTGGATGTTTAAAGCTTTTGAAATAGTTTAGACCCCTCTCTCAACTTTGAAACTTAATTCTTTGAGCTTTCTGTTATGTTCTTTGCCCTTTCTAAATGCTATAAAACAATGCGCCATAGCTTTAGAAGAACATCTGTATTTATACTGAGGATAAATGACACACAGGCAGGATCCATTTTCTAACTAAGAAACATCTGAAGACAGCTGCTTGCTCTAGAGTTTCTTCAGGGGTGTCAGAATAAAAGGCATAATGAATTACAGGCTTTAGATGTCAGTTTCACAAAGCATGTATCTTTTTCATTCCAGTTCAAAATGATCTATTAATTTTCTATAAAAGTAATAAAAGTAAATGCCTGTGTCGTTTTAAAGTCATTCATGAAACTACCTTTAACTCCTGCCAAACATATGTATAAAAAAACATCAAAACTTAGATAAAAAGAAGTTCAAGATAAACTATTTGCATATGTTAAATCTTGGCACTTGCCAAATAACAAAATTACAAAAACATCCAAAAAAACATAACAAAACCTAGAGTTGCTGTTCACTGATTGTATTGGTGTGTAGTACCTGGTTGGCCAGCGCCTCCTGCTGGACTCTGGCCTCCTCCTGAGCCTTCTCAAGAGCTAAACTCAGCTGCTCTTTGGCCTGGATTTCCCTGCTTAGGGCTGCCTCCTGGGCCTCGCTTGCTTTGCTAGCGTGAGCCTTATGTAGTTCCGCCAGCTCCCTGAAAGCAGGGGAAGAGAAAGTGCATGACTATATTAAGGCCATGTTTTTGCAGGCAATCAATACCATCCCTCAGTTTTATCTTTGTTGTTCTCCATGTCCACAGAAACTGCAACACACATTGTTTGAAAAAAGCTATGCTTAATTGTTTTTTTTTACCACCGATCCCTCTCTCCATGCTTCAGTTCTATTATTTAGGACAATCCTATTATGCTTCATATTACACCAAAGATTTTAAAAAGTTAAGATACACTGTGGACAATAAACATCTTTAGGAAGTAGAAGACAGTGAGCTAGCCGAATAACCTAGCTTGTGTAAGCCATCCAAAAAGTGACAATTGCAAAGAAACTGGGGCATCAATAACTACTGCAGGTTGCCTTCGTTGTAGTCTTCAAGGTCTGGTATCCTGCTCTTTTTAAACGTGCTTCAAGTAAAATAATCAGGTCATTATCAAGACTCTAAATAACTTGCCTGCATACTGAAGATGTAACTGAGCAATTTGATCCAGGTGTGGAAGTAGAGACACATCTAAAAGGTGCAGGAAGACATTAAGGAACCCTGCTCTAAGGTATAAAATGCTCAGTGTCTGAGCTGCCTACAAATACACTAGAGACAATAGAACTAGCAACGCTGCCAGTTCTATTAGCTCTACGCCTGCTGAAGACACAGACATCCATCCCTGTGAACACTGGGATGTAACTCAATGGTAAAATTGCATATATTAGCTGCGATATATGAATCAAGATGCTATGACCGAAAAACTGTGATTGACAGAAGACCGCTGATATATGTCATTGGGCATATTTAGGTGTACAAGCTGATGTATAACTAACTAGCCTGCATAAGATAACGAAAAGAAAAAAAAAAAGATTTTAAGGCAGGAATTTTTTTTTTTTTTTTAAAGAAATTTTCTAAATTTTGAGACAATATCGTCTGATAAAG